CTTACTATTGTACGCCGAACGTTCTATTTAGGTTCACTTCAACGGGACTGATGCTTCGTTGGTTCACGTTCAGGCATAATTAAATAACAAAGATAAACACAAGTATCAATATTTGCTTAGAATTTTGCGCCAAAGTGTTTACAATCGACCTATATAAAATTATAAAACCATTATAAAATCATTCTAATCGAGAGTGCAGATATCAAGTTTGGCTTTAAAAAATATTATTCGCCTTTAATTTTAATGGGACTGGTACTTCGTCAGTTTATGTTTATTTATAATTAAATAAACAAGATAAACAAAAATATCAATATTCGCTTATAAGTTTGTGCCAAAGTGTGTATAATCGACCTATATAAAATTATGAAACCATTATAAAATCATTCAAATCGAGGGTGCAGATATCAAGTTTGCCTTCAGTTTAAAATCTTCTTAAAAAATATTGTTCGCCCCTCAATTTCCACAGATTTCCAAAAAATACGTAACAAACGTACGAGCGTGCACGAAGCAGCGTGATAAATTTATTTAGCACGATATTTTATCGAGAGTTCGCCGCGTTCGGTTCGCGTCTCCCCGGGGCGAGTGGTAAAAATGGCCGTTTTCGAGCGCGGCCCTTTTCAAAGCACAACTTCCGGCGGCGTTAACTTGACGCAAAAACGCCCCCGGCTGCACGTAGGAACGTATAATCGTAGTCGAATCGAGAAACGCGGATCGCGTAATGCACCGATGGCAGCGCTGAGAGCGCGGATGGGATTTTAGAAGGGTTGCATGGCTAAGGTAAACGATATTTGCGAAGCTTGGGGGATCGATAGCAATTTAACCACCCTTCGCCATTCTCTACGAGCACCTCCCGCCGGTACATCTATGTACTTTCCTCCGACCTGGGTCCACCACCACCACCGCCGCCACCATCATCGCCATCCTGGCTACCGGGTGCTTCTGCTCGCTTCTCCGCTTCTTCCTCCCACCCCCTCGCCTACGCAACGTGGCCCAGTCGGAACTCATCCATATACATCGGGAAAATTAATATCTGAGCTTCATTCGCGCGCTGAATAAACTCGGTTGCGCGTTCGCTTCCTTCCACCGTCTCCTCCTTCTTTTTCTTCAAACTCCCGCCCCTCTGCCCCCGATTCCGGGCGACGGTGATCAACCCCTTGTCTTCGTACGCTCTTGTTCTCCCCGTGGTCTTTTTACCCCGTTCTCGTTGCGAGACACCCCGCCGCGCCACCGCCAGATAACACGCTCGCGTTTGTTAATAACTTCCTGGCCCGGAACTTTAATTCCAAAACGTCGCGGTGGTCTCGTATTTCTTGGCCCGTTCCGATTGGACGTACCGTGATCGCGTGCTTTTCTGCCCTCTTTCTTTCGAATATCGTAAATCGTGTGATTTATCCGGGGTCGAAGGGAAGCAGTTTCGTTCGATGGAAAATTTAACGATTTACTAATTTCGCGATTTATACGAGACTATTGAGAAAAGGTCATTCGAGTTCACTTTGGGATTTCTAGTTGATCTTTTGTACTCGTGAATTCTTTATTTATCAAAAATCAGTGTTTCACGTATGCGTTTGGGTTTTCGAAATAATAAAATTTATTTTTTTTCTCTTTTACGAACCATCCCCTCGAGGGATCTATCGCAGATCCTTACGGCGTGGCCCGTGTGCGCGTGTCCGACTCGCGCGGGTGTGATTCATCGATCTCGTAACTGGGGAGAACGTCCGGTGTACCTGGACCGCTTATATTTACATATTTAACTAACTCAACGGCCAGCAACGTGAACGCGGGCCGGATAATCTGGAATATGTTAATTCGGGACGAGGTGCATACCATCGCTTTGAATTAACGCGAACACTCCTGCGCGATTAGTGCGCACGGTCAATGTCGAGGTACAACAAAATGGTACCTAGCGTCTCTTCCGTTATCCAAGTATTCCTTGCAAGAGGTTTCCGGGAGGTAAATATAAGAAACAAACGCTCTGAATTTGATTTATAAAAAATGGCAAAAATGGCACTTCTGGTCCTGCATATGCACAAACTAAATCAATTTATTTTAATAAATTCACAATGAACATAATATATACAGTACATAGATTCATTTTTATTATGCAACTTCAATATTTATTCACGTTCACATTTACTGGCTCCTGACTAAAAGATTATACTCTACGAAATCTGTGTGAACCACACAATGTCTCGGAATCGACTATAGTGTAACGTTTACATTTCATTTGTTAGAAATACGTTTCTTGTCTACGCATTCGAATACTTTTGTGACGTTCGAAAACTGTACATTTATACTAAATTCTCTGTAAATTCTATATGTGTCATCCAGGTGTGTTTGCAATTTTACGTATGCATTCTCGAGACTCCTGAGTAACTTCACTGACAATTTTATTTTGAATACATTCTATTTATTAACGATGTAGATTGGATCAGTTCGAATACTTTCATGAGCTACCGTAGATAAATCTAACATCTTTGAGTATTAGAGAATTTTATTAAAATAAGTTACAAAGAATAGTATTTGGGGATTTAGCGAAGTTCAAAGGATCGAAAATGCGAGCGGGAATCAGGGCAAAGGGATGAAAATTATCCGAAGGAAAGCAAGTTGAGTTTCAGAGTGACTTCCGTCTTAATTTACGGCCCCCCGGGTGGCCTTAGCGAGGAAATTATCGAATTTCAAGTTCGTAACGCAGTCATCCTTCGTTCTTGAGAAAGCATTCTTAGCTTAAATGGTCACAGCGAATTTTCAATCGTTCGGGACATCCTTCGCCAGCAGCGACATCCTCTGCTTTTGATTGTTCCGAGAGTACACAAGGCTTCATCAAAATTGACCTCGGACGCTCCGTGGACGTTCCTTGCCTGGTAAAGTTCAAGGCCATGTTCATCGATCGACCCAGTTATAACTATTCGCTTCCGTACGACGTTAACAATTATTCGCAACTCATTTTATTCTTGAGCTTGCCCTGTCACTGCCATTTTCGTTTCGCGTATATTTCTCAGAGTAAATAAGTCATAATTGAATGACTAATGATGATAAAAATAGGTGTGTGTTTTTCATTATTATACATATATGTCGGAGAAACGACTTCATCGGAAATTAATCGTGGGCCATTCCTTTCAGATCTTATTTAAAACTTTATTAAAAGAATAATCAACGAAAACTGATGAGTCCTTTGTAGGAATTATTTAACTTTCATAGCACACGTCTTTGTCGTCCTTTTTATTCTGTTCTTTTCGTATATTTCTTTTTTCAAACATTCTGGTATCCAGACAATCAACTCACGTTTACATTTTTGAGGACATTTTTCACATCGATTATAATTTTATTTATACAACGTGAAGTGACATGAAAATTTTCTAATGGTTTACGGCGTATATATTCCCTATAATCTTGAGAATTTTGTGCCTTGTAAGATCCAGATGATAGAATTAACGACGACTCAGCTGTCGAGAGTTCCTCGATGGCCAGCCAGCACAGTTTTTCGTAATCGATCCGGACAGTTGTAACCGCGCTATCCATTATTTTTCTCGTTACCCGTGGCCCGGTGACAGATCTGTCGTAGAATCGTGGCCGTCCGCGTCTCGGTATAATCGAGTGAACGGGAAACGGTCGCGACGAGGGTCCGTCGAGCAGAAACGGAGTTAAGGTCGCTTAACGCTTAGGGGCTTTGTAACCTAAAATCCACAGCCAAAGTTTGGTACCACTTGGCAGCAGTTGTCCTCGGATCGCGAAGGCCACCTAAGGTCTCGAGAGATCCTCCACCGGTTGCTAGTTCTTCTGAGAGTGCTTCAGCGTTGTTGTCAGTGCGCCGTGGAAATATGCGAAAGCGACACTCCTCTCGTACCTGAGGAGTTCTCGTTTAACTCTTTAACCCGCTACACAACCTCGCCCGCGTGCCGCTACCGCCGATGGAAATGATCGATGAACTTCCTGAACTATTCTCGAGCCATGCTGGGGACCTCTGCTCCCTCCATTTATGGTAGATTACGTTCTATTTTTGCTTTCCTGGAAAGAAACATATCGAGAGTGATTATTAAATTCGAAAGGGATATTTTCATTAGTTTCTGAGAAACCAGCTTCTTGAAGTTGTCTTTCGTGTCTTCTTTCTTGCGCTTCTGTCTGACATTTATTTCCAGTTTCATTATTGAATGTAAATGGAAGTATCAATTTTACAGAAATGTCATTTCCCCTTTCGGAGTTGTTTGTCAGAGAAAATAGATCCTTCTTAATAAACACTGAAAGCTATTATTTTTACCGTTCATATTAAAATACACTATAAAGTATGTAATGTAAAAGTCTCGAATAGTTTGTCTCTTGTTTCCAGCATGAATTTGAGTTTGAGTGACGAGGAACATCAATTTTGACAGAAACATTGCGTCAAACTGTTAATAAAAGATACGAGTGGATTGTTTCATATAATAAGTAGATTAATAACACACAGTACAAAGTATAGTACATAGTTGCATAAATATTGTCCTTAAAATATTTTTAAAACCGATGATAAATCCGTGTACCCGCGTGATAGAGCAATTTCGCTTCTTAAGGTGAATGTAGGATATCGTGACGATCGAAGCCAATTATTTTCGCGCCATGGTTTTTGCGTTAGCACCATTTGCCAGCCTCGAGGTCGTCGAAACGCTGGGATGAATCAACGGACAAGATTTCGCTTCTGCGTGTGGCCTGGCCATAAACCCATGGGCGTGGCGAACGTATTCAGGAAAAGAGAATGATCACGAACGCACGCCACGAGCAATTTTCCGCATTGATTCATTAACCTCGTTGCATTTCACGGCATTGATTCCCAGAATTCTTGTGCACGCGACGAGAAGATGCTTCTTTCTGCAAAAGAGACACTGCTCGATAATTTCTACTTACTTTCTACAGTGTACGATAAAATTGATACTACGAAAACACTTTTAAATTATCATTGCTCGTAAGAGATTAATTTTCGTTTCGTGGTCGCGCAAAAATAATGTAATTTTTTTTTACACTGGTTTCAGGCAACGGAACTTTAGAGTTGTTCGATAGTGAGAGCGGGCCGGACCTCACGCTATCACCTCAGACCTTCACGTCAACGGCAGAGGCCTTCATCAATGACAATAGTGATAGTCTTGGTGTTCCAGGAGACAACGATACGGGTGAGTGCCACTTTCAATTGTATTTTTAAGGGATACGTATCTTACCGCCCCGTCTGACCATTACTCGACCCGTTCTACTTGCTCGCGGTAGAACAAAAACATCTCTGAAACCATTTGTTACACGGAAGCCCGTTACAACGATACTGAAACAATATACATAATCCAAGATAACGTTGAAAATTATCGAAATAGACTATAGTCGTTAAATATAAATTATCATTGTTAAATAACCAGTTACGAACGCGAACGCAGGGAACTAATTAATAGACATTGCGAAACAGAAATATTATACCGTAAGATAATATTCATTAATTAATTCCACAATGCGTAACTCTGAATCGATAATTCTCGGTAACACGGAAGTTAATGGGTATTCCATTAAATCGATAAGTATCTAACTCTGGTAAAGTAAAAATTAGAGTTTTTTAAAGAAGCAATGAGGGCATAAAATATAAATCACATCATTAAAATAACAATGTCGATACATTTATTGTGATTAAGTAGAATCATCGCTTTGCGTCATTTTAACAAGTATATCTGTTCCGACCACTCGAAGATTTCGAAGTTTCGTATCCTTCGTCTCATATCGAATAGAAAATTCTAATTTGTCCATTATAGTAACGAACTGGAAAGCAACCGGAGCACGTCAAACGGGGCTTCGTTCCTTTGTGCGCGAGGTGTCCATTTCGTCTATTAAATTTATCACGAGCAAATCAGTTATCCGCGGATCGCGATGGACGGGACTCGAAGTCGCGCGTTTTAATCCGCGCCGTTCCGAACTGCTTTTAACTTAATTGGTCGAAAGGGCAGAGGATGTCGATCGTTTAGAGTCGTTAGGCAAAGGCACCAAGGACAATGCATTAATGTAATTGTTGCGCGGCTCGTCAACAGGCGCAGTTGAACGGCGAGTTACAACTAGTTCGAACATGTCGGGAGAGGCCATTTCCGTGCGTATGCCTCGGTATATAATACCTATTGTTTCCTGCAAGTACAAGGGGACTGTTCCAGTTGTACACCGACTATAAAATGTCCGCATTGTTTCCCGCGGACAGCCTGCACGGTAATCAAGTCGCCTTTCTAGAACCGAGTGCTACAACTTGACGCTTCGATCGAGACTCGAACGTCTTAATCGTACCTTTCGTACTTGCGAAATAATATCAGAGAACGTACCTTTTATACACGCAAATAAAATACTAGATTCTTATATTTAATATCTCCAAAACGAAAACCATTTTAAAGTGAAGGTTTCCCCCCTTCTATCGGGGCTCGATTATGGAGAACACAGTAGCAGTCCGAAGTTGTAGCATTTACATAACGGGTTACTAGTTTGTTTATTAAAATGATACAACCGATAAGTAAATTACCCGGATAATTTAATTCGTAACGATTCTGTTAAATGTTTTCGACGTCGCTGACAATGATTATTTCACGAAATTTCGTTTGCTTTGATAGTCTGTTAACCTCTATTTAACAAGACTAACACGATTTCAATTAAGCCGGTTAAATGAGCTGTCGAAATTTGGATATACAGTCAACGAGAGCTAATCGGCTTTGCGGATGCAAACCGTGTAGAAATTACGATCGATAGGAAATCGAACGGGTTGGCTTTGTACGGCAACTTATCGGGGCAAGGACGGAGTCGTGGCCGCAAGAAACAACGGTTGTGTTCGTATCGGGGCGTAAATCGATCGAAAACAATCGAGACGTTTTTACGTTGCGTTTTACGACGTAGTAATGACCGTTATCGTAACAAGTATTTACGCGTAACGGAAATACGATGAGGGCCTCCCATCGGGATGCGTAATTGCGATGGAATGCAGCGGCGTCGCGCAACCTTTCATCCCTTTGACTCGTGATTCACACGCGTACCAGGAGCAAACGAGCGTTCTGGCCAAAAAAATATCGGATTTCAACGGGCGAGCCAACGTCCGCTTGGCCGTGCACGATGCCAAAAGCGTGTTGCTCGGCTGGCTGTGTCGAAACCTCGTACTCGATATGTTTTTCCCCGATACACGGACATCCTAATTGCCGTCGCGTGTCTCTGGGGTTGCTTCCTCGAGGAAACGAGGGTTCCAGGGGGAAGAAAAGTACAAGGGTAACTGGGCTAATGATCCACAGGTGACTGGCTCGATTCGCCCGACAGCGATTCATTACGCGAACATTTTTACTCGATGCTTATCGAAGATTCCGGACATTAGAATTCTTTGCAAGAGATTTTTTATTTCGTTGCTGTTGGTATAATGTACATCGGTGGACTAAATTATAGGTTCACCGGTCTTTGGGTGGAAATTGTTTCCTTTTTTAACACGTTGACCGCCAGATCAAATCCTTCAAATTGTCTATGAAAACGATAACATCTAGATTTGTTTTCTTTCACATCTAATTTTGAGAAATAATATTTTTTAGCTCATCAGTGAAAATTCATATCACCTATATGTGGTTTACAAACTAACGAAATTTGTTTGGGGATTGATGCGGTTATCCCTTTTTAAATTCAAAACAAATTCTGAAAAGTGTCCGCTACATGGTCTCCACGTTAAGTTATTTCCTTCCCACGACTCTAAACGCATCTTTTATGCCGCTATACCGCCCTCATGAAAGTGTATAAGGTTTATGGTGGCTAAGTGTCAACTGTTCGCTTCATGAATAATTCCCTTCGTTGTTTCTTCGAGAGTGTTCCTCATTGAATCTTGCTTTTGTGTCTCGTTATGTCCGTTTCGAACGGGTATTCTAGTTCGGCGTTTCCAAAAAATCGATGTTCCTCCGTGTTCCCGCTGCTTAGGGCCTTAAAAACGCGCCACTAAAGAATTTTATTAAAACCCGTAAAAATAACGCAGCTATAAGCATTTTACTGCCCGGGTGTTCAGTATGCAACGTCGCTGAAAGTGGCAACTGCGAAACTTCTCAAACTTTCTTGGAAATGATACAATATGGCGGGTTCATCGTTGATATGAAAGAATAGGTGGAACAAGATTCGAAAGGGCAAAGAAAAATCATTGAATCGGACAAATTCTTTAATATCTACTCAATTCTAATTTTCTGAGTGCACTTTACGTTTCATTGTTGCCAATTCAATCATCTTTACATTCTTAATCCGACGCATTTAGCATGATACATTGCGTCTGGCCCACGATAACTTTCGAGTGGCCCACGACGAGTTTCAAATGGCCCACGACGAGCTCTGAGTGGTCCATGACGGCTTTTAAGCGCCCCACGTCGACTTTTAAGTGCCCCACGACAACTTTTAAGTGCCTCATGACGACTTTTAAGCGCCCCACGACGACTCTAATTTTCTGAGCTCATTCTTGTCAATTCAATTTGATTCAATCATCTTTACATTCTTAATTCGACGCAACTGGTATGATACATTGCGTCTGGGCCACGATAACTTTCGAGTGACCCACGACGAGTTTCAAATGACCCACGACGACTTTTAAGTGGCCCACGACGACTTTTAAGCGCCCCACGACGATTTTTAAGTGACCCACGATAAAATGAACGCAAATCGAGTGGATGGGAATAGAGGATGACCTACAGCGAACGAAAGACTTTCGATGGGCCGCGTGGAAAGTTGAGGGGCGAGGATCGCCGTAAGGCGTAACTTTTGCGCGGGCGTAAGTTCGTTACAACAATTCCACGGAACTCGGGACCGCCGTTGGAAGTTCGAAGCCGCAGCTGCGGGCGGTCGCGCGCGCGCGCTGCGCGGTTATGAATAAATTTCGCCATGACGATATGTCATTTGCATATTACCTGGTACGCGACGGTCGAACCATCGTCGCGTCGAGTCTCGTGTCAGGGTTGGCCGAGTCGGGACGTTTGACTCGGGAAAATTGCGGGGAAGGGCGGCGATGTCGATGGTATTTCTCCACCGTTGTATCGATCTCTTGCTCGTTTAAGCCGCGAGACTTTTCACGGACAGCTCGAACGAGACACGCGTGTTCTGGGAGAAAGTCGAAGCTTCACGAACACCCGACTAGTCGAGAACGACGATTCTGTCGAGAATTTTTCAGTACAGGACTGTGTTGTCCAGTTACGAACGATCCAAGCAGGTATACAATTCTGAAACGATTTTATTCGATCGTTAAACAGATGTTTTGATTTTGAAGAATTCTTTATTATTCGGGAGTTCTTCGCGGTTGTTTTATGCACGAAAGAAAATGTTATCGACCGACGAACGCGGTTTTTTCTACAGGTTTAGTTCGTCGTCAGGTAGCGTCTCTGGCCATTTTTATGACGCGTTCGTCGCGGTTCCGGAATATTAATTCACGGAATTACATCGACGGGGTAAATAAAAACGATGTTATGGTAATATCCATCCGGACTGATTTTTATTTGACTTGCAATTCAAACGAGCCGCGTATAAACTGCGAAACATGCAAACGTACACCGACGTGTTTGCCGATGTGAGAAAAAGTATATTTTCATTTTCACGTGCAGTCACGCACCGCGAATTCGGCGAGTGACGAGCACGAGATTATTCTGTCCAGTCCCGTAATTTTCACCGTTGCGGAAGAACTTTTTCCCTGTTCGAATAATAGAACGTTCCCGCTAAAGCACTTGCTTCATTCGTTTACGGTTAGAATGAAAAAGACAAAACGGGACAGCTGCTTTCGACAAATTTCCAAGAAGCATCTATTTACTTCCGCCTTTCTTGTCTTTTGTTTTCGTTCGATCTGTCCACGTGTTTTGACCATTCGAACAGCGCGTGGGGTTTCGAGAAGATTGAATATCGGTGGTGGAACTGGACCAATAGTTTTTCTCGAGGAGTTATTACGGGGCACGATCATCCGATAGAACGTTTTGGATAAGCAAAGTTCGCATAATGGCGGCTCCGGCGTAATCGTCGGCCGGATAACTGATTTCCTAAAATTCGCGGCGAAACGAGGGAGCAAACTTTCACGGTGCTCCAACTCCGTAAAAATCCGATCGCCCGAAGTCGGTTTGAATCGAGCCTCGTCTGGCGTCCTTCAAGATTCATTAAACGAGTCCGTGAAAATGCT